TTCAACAATAACAACATTTATGCACTTATTAGGCAATAAAATTACATCACTTAGAATCTTCCATAGTTTACCTGGCCTTTCACAGTTAGCCTGAAGAATATTTATGGCCATTCTTAAATTTAAAAAATATTGAAGACATAATGATAGTTTTACTTCTGTTTATAAATACTTGCTACAAAATATAATACTTACATTTGCCTTGATAAAGTCCAACAGAGGATGAAACATATCGGTAATGAGAAGTTTTACTTTTGTCTATATTCATCTGGTTTTTTAATTTTACGTCAATGAATTGGTAGTTGATTTATGCGACTGATAATAATTCATATTTATCTGTATCTCACTCATTTAAACCATTATCTAACTTCTCTTTTTAAAACTTCTCTTTTAACTTCTATTCCTCACCCTCACTTTAAAGCCTTTCCTGTTCTTTCTTTGATTACACCTCTCTCTAGAGCTTTCATACATTTCCCTCTCACCCTTGTTTCTCACTCCAACACACACACACTCTCACTGAAATTTTTTTTTTTTTTTATACCCAGAGATATATTTATTGTTTTCTTTTTGAATTTGTAGGTCTGATGAATTGGATCATGATTAGGATTCCAATGTAATAAATTATAACCATGGAATATTAGTGTTTGAATGTTTTATATATTCTTGCTCTTTGTACATAGAGCTCTACCTGAATTTTATCCTCTTGGAAATATATATATATATATATATATATATATATATATATTGACCACTAATATCTCTCTCTCTCTCATATATATATATATATATATATTGACCACTAATATTATCTCTCTTTCACATATATATATATATATATATATATATATATATGATTCAACATCATCGAAACAAAATTGCAACATTTGTAGTGATCTTATAACATACATATATTATAAATTTGAATATATATACATACATACATATATATATATATATATATATATATATATATATGGATGGATGGATGGATGGATGGATGGATGGCCACTCATAGCTGAGAATGCCTGTCTACTAGGGTGGCTAGCCAATCCCTCTTGTAGACGCCTGCTCAGGCACATTTGTGTTTGTTCAACACCCACAGAAGCCACCTGTGGTTTATACTGCTGAGTGGACCTTAGTTACAGTTTCTGAAAGAGAGTGCATTATCTAGCATGATCAACAGTCTGAACAAGGCCAGCACACTCACATGGTTAGAATGTTTGCATTTTGTCCATGAGCCACAGGTTCAAATCACGCCATGGTCAATATGTCAGGAAAATGACTTCTTGATGTTAGCCTTTTGAAAGTGCCTGAAAAACATATCATGGATTGACCCAAGAATTGTGAGTAGAAATTGTGTAGACAGAACTCTTTAGGAGCTGTCAATAGATGTGCTAAGTTAAGTCATCAATATCATCATATATATATATATATATATATATATATATATATATATATATATATATATATATAATATATATCATAGCACTAAGACACAAGGGGTTACATAAAACTTAATAATGAGCAGAAAAAAAAAAAAATCAGGAGGACAGTAATTGCATTTAAATTTTCAGATTAGACTTGGCTGGAAAGCATAGAGGGGGGAGTTCCACAAGCAATATATATATATATATATATATATATATATATATATATATATATATATATATATATATATATATCAAAGGAAAAAAATTAATGCATCATTGAAAACTTGCTCATAAATTATAATTTATTTTGGCAGATAAGTTTTTAATACCTGTCTCATCAGAATCAAAATTATAAATGATTTAATTTTGGTCTGATGAGACAGATGTAAATATATATATACATACATATATATATATATATATATATATATATATATATATATATATATATCCAATTAAGATTCCTTCTGGGTAATAGCCATTTCACCTACAAGTTAAAACTAATTTGCAGGATTTTTAAACTACCAGATGGATAAGAAAAAATCAAATGAGAATGGCTTAAAAAACAAAATTTAAAAACCAGGCAAAAATGAGAAAGAAAAAACGAAAAGAAAAAAAAAACAAAAGAAAATAAAGACAGAGTAAAAGAATTAGTAAAAAAAGACAAGATAGAAAGTAAAGAAAAAGAGAAGAAAGAAGGTAATGAGAAAGTAGCAATGTCTGGACATGGGGGTAGGTATAAGGATATACATAAAGTAGACTGACCTAATTTATATAGAACTGAAGCAGTTATATTAATATATTTTCAGTTTATATGTTATTATTAAATAATTGTTTGACTTCATTTCATAATATATATATATATATATATATATATATATATATATATATATATATATATATAAATTAATTGATTTAAAATATGTTTTTTTTTCTACACAGTTCTAACCATGTTTCAAAAATGGAAGCTAAATGCCCCGAATTTAATTTTGTAATTAAATTAAAGACATTCGCTTGAGGATGCAATGGAACTAATGTCTTTAATTTAATTACAAAATTAAATTCAACATTTAGCTTTCATTTTTTGAAATATGAAGAATTGAAGAAAAAAAATCATATTTTAAATCAATTAATTATAATATTAATGCTCTGTAAATTTACATTGAGCACTATTTTGTAAAAATAAAAATATCTATAAGAACACCGGATTATATATCTTACTGTTCTTTCTTTTTATTTATATACACATATATATATATATATATATATATTTTAGTAGGTACACATGTTTCAGTTGCTATCCCATTTTTTTTATTTTCATCAATGGTGAAATTAATAACAACCAGCCTAGATCAAGAAGTCCCACTAAAGATAAATATACCTTTTAACAGGAATCGAACCGGTATCCCTTTTTCCATTAGGGAAACCTCACCTATAGCCAAAGCATGCCATTACCAATTTGATAATGGGAGATCATCTTAATAAAGCAATTTTTTCTATTTAAGGAACACATATTTGTTATTGGGACTTCCACGTATCTATATTTACTATCTTCAATTTTATATCCAAAATATAAGCATCAGTAATTTTTAAATGGATATTTAATCTGACATGATTCCTTATTTCTAAAAATGTTTATTTTTAGTAAGTACACACATTTGAGTTACTATCTGTGCATCTTACTTTCCTAAAAGTGAAATTAATAACATTATCTAAATAAATCCTACCAAAGAAAAATATTTAAATGTATATAGTAATTATAAAAGTATATGCCATACCCTACCTCTGTTCCCTGTTATACACATGTCCAATTATTTTATTGGCACTAATAGTGGGGTTCAGCCAAATTTTAAATTAATCATTATTGATCGACCCCTGTAGAATGCGAGTCTCTTACCTTCCATTATTTGTGAGCGTATTAAATGCAACCACTCTGAGCATTGATTATATTTCCACATTCACTTGTCAAACATTTGATGTATGGAAGATGGTAGATAGGCTTGAATGCTGCTTCACCAATGCAGAACAGGATTTTGAAACGGAGGGTGCCCACATTTCAGTTGTGGAAGGAAAAAAAAATTTTTGGATAATTTAACATGTTAAAGTGTTTACACAATCTTGGAGAGTTTCGACTGATGGCTTTGTTACACATACCTAACTACACACCTACTATGTGTGTTAGTAGAATGCCGAAAAATATCCAAACAAAAGACAATATTATTTGCACTTTTTATATATTTCGTTGCATATGTAGATAGCCTTTTTCTCTAAATATATTCTCCTCTTGTACAACTTATTGCACAATTTTTTCTAATACGCTAACAAGTCCTGGGTATGACGATGAATTACATTCGGTAGCAAGGTCTCTGATTGGGAGATTAGAGGTTTTGAGGAGCATAGAACCACCTCTGAATTGCTGTTGTTCCAAGGTCCACCCTGACTTTGGGTGGTAGCACCTGATAGGGTCCCAGCTATGGGCAAATAGTGGCCACCACCAAAAACAAAAAACTATGAAAGTATAAAAATACATTTTTATAGTAAAAATATGAGCAATACATTTTATATAAAAAAAATTAGCAACAATACCTATTTATAGTAAAATTAGCAACAATATCTATTTATAGCTAAATTAACAACAATAGATTTTTGGAGAAAAATGACCTGCAATACATTTTATAGTAGAATTAATAACAATACATTTTATAGCAAAATGATCAACAATACATTTTATTTGTAGTTGAAGGCATAGAATTGCAGTCAAAATATATTTAGATGAAGCCATAAAATTGTGTTAAAAGTATTTAGATTTTGGCATTAAATAATCCATAGTGATTGATATGCCACTCAACAATACAAACCAACCAACATGAAAGAATGCTTTCATGACATTAATCCGTATGATATCCTAAAATTTCTTAAAGAAATCAAACTGAATTCCAAAATATAACTTCAAGAAAGCTACAACATAAAGCACAGATATCACCACCTCAAGCAATTATGTCCATAGAAACATGTATATATACAAAAGCTGAGTATCATCTACCATGTATTCACTTGTGAAAGAAGAATAACATATATTTTTATTACTCCAAAGCTCCCAAGAAAATTAAATTTCAGCATTAAATGACCCATAAGTTGTAGATATGCCATTAAATAAATAAAAACAATAAATCATTTGATAGTTAACCTTTTACATACCATACTATTTAGATTTCAGCATTAAATAACCAATACAGGTTGATAGGCCGCTAAACAAAATTAAAATGTATTCCAAAACATAACTTTAACAAAACAGCATAAAACACATTTATACCTCTAGTAATTATGTCAGCATAAACATATATATACACAAAAGCTGAGTATCCTCTGGCATGTATTCACTTGTGAAAGCAGAATAACATCTATTTTTATTACTCCCAAGCTCCCAAGAAAATTAAATTTCAGCATTACATGACCCATAAGGTCTTGATATGCCATTAAACAAATCAATCAATCAATAAAATAAAACCAAGAAATCTATGTAATACCATTATTTTGCCCATTTTATAAATTTTATTATATATTTTTTTTCAGCTTTGTTAAGAAGCAAAGACAGTGTATTGATCCTGAATAAGCAAATGAAGGTAAGAGACATGTTTTTATTTGTGGCCAGTTCTTACATATACTACTGTAGTGAGAAAACATGCAGGTGTAACTTAACTAAAGCTTTATTCAACTTAGAATGAAGCATGTCCTATTGGAATTAAATATAGAATATGCGTAAGGGAGATAATCCATACAACACCTATTAAACAAAAGAGTTTTTTTATGTATCTCACATCTTTAACATGCCAAATAAAATGCAGTTGCAGTGTCAGTATAGCTACGATCTCAGGTTCAATGCCTAGGTAACTGTTACAATTGTTCCATTTCATTTCATCAGGGTAAAAATGACTATGTGCTAATCATGCATTTTTATAAATAAATCACACAGTCTTCTCTCTTTATCAATATAATCAGTTAGAAAGCGGTTTTAATGAAATTTTTGAGAATTTGAAATAAAAGATGTGAATTTTAATTTTATATCACTGCAGCTTTCAGATATGCATTTAATTGATTGATTTGGGTTTTACGGCTTATCAGTCTTAATTTTTGAAGGTTATTTAAAGCCAGGACATATTTTTAGATTGCAAGGGTTCTTTTTTTTAAGATAATAATGATTTAATGATACAGCAACTAATTAACCTATAGTCAGGAGGGAAAAAGGTGGATTCATATTTTTCTGAACAGTATTTGCCTGTAAGCAAATATAAAAGACTGTGATGGAATTGGTACTTGGCTCTCCAATTAAAAATTCTGAACCACTATCCACTACACCACCTCCATATCCAAACTTACAGCACCTGGCATTTCCAATTGGTCACCCATCTAGGTAATGTTGCTTAACTTTGGTGATTGTATGAAAACTAGTGCTTCAATATGATATGGCTGTAAGCTGCTTGGTATGTACAGGTAGTGTAAGGGTTAGCAACTTGGGAAGAGAACTTGGCAAGCTGAGTTCAAATCCCAGCTTTTGTTTGATTCACTTTTTCACAAATACTACTGAGAAAAATATTAAACCATCCCTTCTAACACAAGCTATGGGTTAAATAGGCCTTGAGGTGGCAACCAATCTAGGAGAAGAAAAACTCTGAATTCCAACCAGCCTGAAGAGTGATGGGATCTGTCAAGCTAGCTTGTCTTTGATGCACCATTGCTGTCATTGCTGCAGTACATATTGTCACACTGTGACTCTAATGGGCTACATGACTTGTCATTTAAGAAAGAAATTGTTCCTGTTGCAGTGGGCAGCTTTTGGAACAATAGCAGACAAAATCCAGAAATGGCTGGGTAAAATTAGGGCTGTGATTTTTTTTAGGATGGACATCATAACAAGTGAGCTAACTCACTCCATAAATAGGAACTGAGTAATGCCCCTTGTTTGGAACTCTCTAGGACAATAGAAAAGAAAATGAATTTCAAGATGGTGGTCACACATCCTCACATGTCATGTACCAAAATATCAATCTACTGGTAATCGCTGGTCATATTTTACATCTATTGTTATCCAATTTGGATTGTGTGTTCATTTTTATTTGATACAAATAAACATACATCTAGCAACCTAACAGATTTGAACTGAGATGAGTTAGAAAACAGCACTGCTTGGACAACCAGAATGCTGAGAAAGGTTTTTGTTGTTTTTTTTTTTAAAGCATTTCACCCCAAGAAAGATAAAATGCCACTAGTATGCAAGGGGTTAAAGAGTGTGAGCGAGAGTAAAGAGGCATGATGGAGGAAAGGATAAAGAGAAGGACGGGGAATAATAGGTCAGGACATCTGGAGATGTCGATTGACATTACATTTGAATAGTTAGAGATTATAGCTATCAGGGAAACAAGTGATAGAAAGGGTATTCCACTGACGGAGGGGTGTGAAACATGAAGCTATTGGAGTAGAAGAAACAGCCACATTTAACTGTTTCGGCAGTGAAAGGGTGGGGCCGTGATGCCAGCCTAGTAGCACGCTTAAATTCATGCAGTTTGGGAACTAGCAAAAGTAGCTTGTCAAAGCAGTTACTGTGAAAATATTTGTAGAAAAGACAGTGAGAGAGCAACTGTAGCCGAGATGCCAGATCAGGACCAACCACATTGCTTATCCATCTCTGGATCTTGTCGAGGACCTTAAGATGAACAGTGGGGGCACCAGACCATATATGGCAGCAGTATTCCATGCAAGGGCAAATTGTTGATTTATAGATTTGAAGGATGGACTCGGGCAAGAAAAACTTTTTGGCACGACACAGGGAACCAACTTTCCTTGCGGTGGATGAAGCTATTGATTCAATGTAATTGTTCCATCTCAGGTCAGCGGACAGTGAAACTAAGCAGTCGCAAAGAGGTGCTCTCATGGATATGAGCATGAGGCATTTTAATGGATGGCATGGATAGTTCCCTATGGTGAGTAATAGAGGGCAGTTTTGTTTTAGAGGCATTAAAGTTAACTAGCCAATTTCTGCCCCTGTCAACAACTGATTATAGGTCCTTTTCGAAGCTAATGGCCAGGTTAGTTTTGTCAGTGATACCAGACTTGCTATTGAGGCAGGAATAAATAGTTGTGTCGTCACCATAGATGCCTACTTGGGAACTGATGACAGTGGGGAGATCATTAATGAAGATAAGGAACAGAGTAGGGCCTAGGATAGAGTCTTTACAATATTTACATTGTTTGGACTGTTCATATTCACAACATTTCAACCATTTTATGCTCTGGCCTTCTTCAGGTGATTGGAATTTCAAACTGAACCCTTTATTTTGTCGACTGGGGTTGATTGTTCAAGTTCCATGTGCCATGCCTCTTCTGGATATCTCACTTTCAGTTTTAGTTATTTCCCTCAACTCTCCTAGTTTTTTGTTTCACCTCTGCTGGTCAGGTATTGAATGCTCATATGACAATTTGTTGTTATTATTGATTTACTCATGCACTCTGTATTACTGGCTCCTATATTGTATTCATATCTTCCAATCACCTGAGGAAGTTCAGAGTGTACAACAGCCAAAATGTTGCGAATACGACAACAAAGATGAGGACAACATTCCAAACAATGTAAATAGTGTAAATAGTGTACAATACCTTATCTCAGAAATATAGGTACAACCTGAAGAAGGTCATAGTGTACAATGGCTGAAACGTGAATATAACAATAAATATGTGAACAACAGTCTGAACAATGTGAATAATGTAAATAGTTACAATACCTCTTCTCAGAAATAGAGACAGATGTTGAAGGTGAATATGACATCAAAAAGATGAGGACAAAATCCGAACAATGTATATAGTGCAAATAGTTACAATGCCTCATCTCAGAAATATAGACAAAAACTGAAGAAGGCCAGAGCGTACAACAGCCAAAACACTGTGAATGTGACAATGAAGATGAAGACAACAATCCAAACAATGTAAATAGTGTAAAGAGTTATAATACGTCATCTTAGAAATATAGACAGATATTAGTAAATAGCAAGAATTTTATCATGACTTGTGAAAATGTTAACATTTTTATTTTTAACCTGAATATTTGCTTGAAATCTGAATTTCAGATCATGTCAATGAAATATATTTTAAAGACCACCTTCTGATGAGACATCCACACACACACACACACATATATATATATATATATATATATATATATGTGCACATTGAATAATCATGCAGATAAACTATTATGGAAAACAAATGAGAGTAAAGAGAATAATGCAGGGGATTGTATTGAGCTTGTTATTGCGTGTCTGTCTGAGACAAGACAAGATTCTTTGTGCTTTCAGGAAGCTGCTTTCAAGAATGCTGTACAGCAAAACCTGTCCGATGAGAGACAGAATCAACTGCGCTGGCAATCGAAAATTGGCGGGGAACCAATGAATGAGACTTCAAAGGCTCAAATTCTGGAAAAACGGAATCACTTCTGGGAAATATACAGAGTAAGTAAAAATAAAATAAAATAAATTGAATAAAAAGGAATGAGCATGAGCAACACGCACACACACACACACACACACACGCAATCACACAATCACACACACATACACATACACACACACAATCACACACACACATACACACAAACACATACACAATCACACACACACACATACACATACACACATACACAATCACACACACAATCACACACACACACATACACATACACACATACACAATCACACACACAATCACACACACATACACACACACAATACACACACACACACACACACGTGCACATTGATCTGAAGTTTAGAATATCTCTCCTTCTGGTTCTTTTTTCTCCCTTTCTTCAGTTTTGTTTCTATTCTCATTTTACTTCACTGATTTCTCTCTCCTTTTTCATTATTTCCCCTTTTTTTTTTACTCCCCCTCCTCTGATCTGTTTATTACATTTTCTGACTCCTTTACTTCATTTTGCTTTCTTTTTCTTCCCTTTCCTGTTTATTGGTAAAAAAATATATATAATTTATTTCCTTTTCTCTCATTCTTACTTTCTTTCTTTCTTTCTTTCTTTTGATGCATACAGGTAGATAGAGCATTATTAATTCTCCAACCTAATGCCGAAAAATTAAGAGCATTTGTTTTACACAAAAAATACTTATTTATCAACACAATATCTTTCCTCGTCAATGCCCCTAATTCACTAATTAATATTAATTATAGGGATGAGTCATTATACAGTTAGAATTTCAGATCCAAATTCAGCTACTAAGAACCCAAATGACTATGAACTTATTGACTTACCCTCTCATTTCTGTTTTTTTTATACTTTGTGATTTTCTTATTGGCATTATTTGCATTCAGACTAATGTCCACATCTTTGTCATTATGATAATAACAACAGAGATGAGGATATTAATCTGAATCTAAATAACAATAACTCCTGATCTCAGAAATTCAGACGGAAATTTGTGATTTTGTTTTTTGTATTTTATGATTTCTTTCTCTAAAATTTCCAAGAATTGTATTAGGAAATAAATAAGAAAATAGATGGAATGTGGTTAAGAATTCAAATAATTTGGTCCTTTATTTGAAAAATCATGGGGTTACTTTTTTAGAAACGGTTTGTTAATCACATGAGTGCAGATATGCACATGTCCATAGTTAAAAAAAAAAAAATGTGTATGTAGCGTAGTGGTTACCAGCACAGAAATTGGGATTGGATGTATCAAGTTTAAATTCACACCAAAGCTGTTGTGTTCACTATCACAAAAATACCCCTGGAAAGGTATGTTTCCAGTTAGGGATTAATAGAAGGTCAGACTTGGCTTTGCTTGGGAACCAGACTGGGAGAAAGACAATGCTGAATCCTAAATCAGTTGGGTGTGGCCAGTAACACCAAGTGATAACAACCTTCTCGCAGTAGTAGCAGATATACAATAATAATCATTGATAGAGAACAAGATATGTATATTAAGATAGATATAAGGTAACTGTAATAGATAAGCTGATTGCCAGTAGGTAGGAAAAAGAAAAATACATACTAAAATATTTTTGCCTTTTAGTATATATTTTACAGTTTCATTGCAATTTTAATGTCTTATATATTATTTTTACAGAATAGAGTATAGTTAATTTATGATCAAACAGATTGGGAGAAGAGAATTTGATGCGGGAGGGGGACACAAGAGGTTGAGTGATACGGTAACAGAGTGATAAACTTAGAAGACAGACTATAAAGGAAAGAAAATCTTCAAATTGCAGTTAATGAATATGTAGAACAAAACAGTTTGTATGACCATAAATGGATAGATAGACGACGATAGAATTTTGTGTTATCTCAGAATTTTAGTCTCATTGAATTATATTTTCTGATTTCAATACGTAAGTTGGATGTGTGGTTAGTAGCCGTATAAATAGTTTGCAAAAACTGACTTGTTAGGTTGTTGGGAAAATAATGTCTGATTTTAGAATTGACTTTTATTCCTGCATGAATGTATTTAAACAGTGTTTAAATCAGTCAAGTCGGGGATCCTGATTATCTATATACATTTCTGCCATCAAGTTATAAGGTTATTTCTCTAAAAATTCAAAGAATTGTATTAGGAAATAAATAAAAAAAAATAAATGGAATGTGGCTAAGAATTCAAATAATTTGGTACTTACAAGGTTATTTATGACTGGAAGAAGGACAATGCTGAATCTTGAAGTGGTTGGGTGTGAGACTAGCAACACCACCTGGTAACAAACTACTCAAGCATGGCAGCAAAGATTATATTGAAAATGAATATTATCTTTTTTTGTACATTGGTGCACCAGTTTATGGAGGTTAATAATAATATCGTGTTGTGGCCACCAGTTAATGAAGGTTAAATAATACAAATTCACAAGTCACTAGATAATGGGTAAGCTAATGGAAGAAAGTGAATATTCTTCTATTTTGTATCTTCCCCATTGTGGGCATTATTATATCCATGATATAACAACACATTTCATGGATGGAATGGAATAGCTGAAAGGAAAAGAATGACAAACATATTTTGTTCTCAGAGAGGTTTTTATCCTGCTAAGTCATATACAAAATTATATACACATATTTACATATGTCCCATGTAGAGAAACTATAAAACATATAATCAACAACAAACAGAGTAAAAAGTGGATGAAAATATAGTCTTACTGTAATAATTTCCAACTGGGAATTGGGTCTGCTGGAGATTCTTCAGTGTTTCTGGAGAAGCCATATTTAGTATTCCAGATTTGAGTGGATTTATCTGCTATGTTGCTAGCAAGTGCATATTCTTTTCAAAATAGGAAACTGTGAGTCATGGGTTTTTCTCAACATGAGGACTATGAGCTGGAGATGGTTTTTATATCTGGTGAAGGTATAATCACAAAGAGAAACAGCACCATAGGTTTGTAAGCTACACCACATGGCTGCTGGCTGGCCTGGGCAGAAATCTAGGCAAAACGAACAACTCGTGTATCTTGACTCTAGGCAGTTGACTGATGGACTGGCCACTTTTCTCATTTTATGAAGTAATGTCACTAAGCAGCCATCACATGACTTATGTGACTTCATTTCAACCAAAGGGAGATAATCATCTTTTGTATTTCTACAGAACATTGATAGAGAATGAGATATCTATACTAAGATAGATGTAAAGCTAATTAATAATTGTAATAGATAAGCTGATAGCCAGTAGATAGAAAAAGTAAAACTCATGCTAAAATGCAAAAAAATGGTGACATGTGTATGAATAAACTATGACAGATCTATTGCAATTTTAATGTCATATATAGATTATTTTGAAAGAATACAGTATAGTTGATTTATGAACAAACAGACAGGGAGATAAGAATGTGATGTGGAATGAGACAAAAGGGGTTGATTGATAAATTTTGACAGACATTAAAGACATTGAAGACAGACTATAAATGAAATAAAAATTTCAAATTGATTTTAATGAATATATAGAACTAAAACAATTTGTATAACCATAAATAGATAGATAAACAGACTGTGATCGAATTGTGTATTGAATTATATTCTTTAATTTCAGTACATCAGTTGGGTGTATGGCTAGTAGCCATAAAAAGACCCTGTAAAAACTATTGCTAGTTTTCTTTTTTTCAATCTAAGTTCGATGGTGATGGTGATGCAACAACATGTACAGGTCTGATGGGCTGGAAGTGTATAGTTGGTGACCTGCACATTTGGCAGCCTTTGAGTAGATGTAAAATTGTTAGCTCACCTTCATATACATATATATATATATATATGTATATATATATATATATATATATATATATATAT